ATAAATATAAGGCCTACTCTGCCTGGGGACTGTCTCTTCAGACTTGGTCTCTTAGGATCATCCACAGGTACCTATACTGTAGATAGGTCTTAGTCATCAGGTCTACTCCACTTCCTTGTTGCCTGCTTAGACTCTTGGCACTCTTAGGTGAGCAGACTTAGTCAGCCTGTGTTGCCCTAACATCTCCACAGTTAATGTAGTAGTACTAAGCAGTGACTCAAAAATCATTCTACCCTCCATTTTGTGTACCACCCATGTGATGTTCCAGATAAGGTTCCAGGTGATCTGTCTATGTATACTCAGGGGCTGGTGATGCAGTGTGTGCTGGACTGTTCTCTCATTTTACCACCACTAGCAATTACACACACCACACCATGATGCATCCTCTCCTGCCTGTCAGTCAGGATATTGCTTCCTGGGAGCAATGGCAAGTGAAGACCGAGACTGTCCCTACCCCTGTGCTCATATGGCTTTGCTCCCCTTGTGGCATTTTGGAGTTTGAGTCACAATGCACCAAATGGACAGCCTTCACAAAAGGTATCTACAATTGGAATGTGTGTCATGCAGGCGATTGGGAATTTGTCCATGGGGGTATAGATGTACTGCTCAAGCAGCTCCATCTTCTGTGGAGGCAAGAAGATCTGCCCAGGTAAAGCCAATTCATGGTCAGGTTCAGACCTGTTCCTGACCCATTTTGTTGACAGCCAAGCATGTGCCTATTGGGCCACTTGCAATATTGCTGAGCTGTTGATGAACTTCCATCTACACTCTGGCCACCTCACCAAAGTGACCAATACCATCTCTTCACAGTGAGTTTTGATTGGGACGTGTGTGATGTACACATCTGACTGCTGCCCAGCATCCACCATCCAGATGACTTCCTCCTCCCAGGGATCCCCCACACACCTGGGAACAGACCTGTAAGCCCCATCTTGGAAGCTCATGATGGTCTTCAGTGGGAAATGTGAGGCCATTGTATTCTTGCTGTATCTATCTGCCTTGCTCATATGGTTTTAGCCACAGTAACCCAGATGCTGTTATGGTGGATGAAATTTTTTGAGCAAGCAAGTTCAAAGTACATGACAATGGAAAGGTCAAGAACTGCAAGCTTGTGGAGCAAGCTACCATCTATGATGATGCTGTGGACAACTACAACACAGTCTTCACAGTGAAGGTGGGGAGGAATTGCAGGTCAGTGACAAAAGAGGTGTTGTTTGCCATGTACCAAGATTGTGTGAAGGTTCAGTAGTCCTCTGCAGGACTGCTTGATAGGCATTAGTTGCAGTGTCTTTGCAAAGTCCTTTCTACAAACTACTCAATATGATTTGATGTGATTGGAATATGACCTGTGGGAGGGAATTTTGCTTCCTTTTGAATCCATATGTGTTGGTATCCATCAGTATTGAACCTCTACCCCCAGGAGTCTGTCTGTACCCTCTTGTTCTCTGTCCTATACCACAATGGCTGCTCCAGGTGAGCACCCCCCATTGGACTTGCACATGACTAACCATACTCTAGATGGTGGTTATCCTGGATGGCTTCTCCTGCTTCTGACTGGTCACTATGGAATTGCATACAACTTTCACACACACTCACTGTTAGACACTCCTCCCCTTGGTTGTTTTTTTGGTACAACTTGTATGCCTCTTTGTCTCTCTAGTGTTTCACTTACTAACCACCTCATAGGTGCATGGTACTTGGCTATGATTTGTTTGCTTTGTGCAGCAGGCCTCTGGTGTGGCCAGTATTCCATGTACATGGGCTGGGGTCATCCAACCTGGTTTTACGCCCTTGTCTGATGGTTACAGTGGTTGCAGCCCCAGGTTGTTTCTCTTTGGCAATGCTTAATCTCCAGCTGTACTCCGTACCCATCCCTCAGATGATACTCACTCAAGCATTCTGTTTGGGAGGTCCAGAGGCACCTATTCCTTTGGGGCCTACCCCAGTTGGTCTCGATTGGCAGCATGTGGGAGTTCACCCTCACGCCCCC